GGTAACACTGACCTATTCGCCCCATTTTCTCCTCACTAGGCACCGAAGGTAACCTGTAATATAGATAGAATAATCACATGCTAGAATTGGAAGGGATCTTGGAGATCTTCTTCAATGTCACTGTACTGAGGCTCAGAAAGGTTCCAACTTGCCCACGGTCACACAGCACGTTCTTTGCAGAATAAGAGTCAATCCAGTGCTATTGCTAAGCAGTAATGCTCTACTGGTCTTGGCAGTGTTTCTTAAACTTACGCCACTTGGGTGCGACTTGCAAGATTCTTGCAGTACCCTTGGGCTGTTAATTACTTCCTTTGTATTTTCTTTAAATCAATGCACTTTTTAAAACCCTAAATACCTGCTTTATCTTTGTCCTAGGTGAAAATATTCCCAAAACTACTGGTTTGATAAAATATTTTCCTTTTTAAATACAAATGAAAATAAATAAATAACTCAAAATAAAAATACACATCTTTGTGTTACATTAAAATGCTCAATTACTACTGGTGGTACTTGAGAGGCACTATTCTGTGCCATTCTCTAAAATCTATGCTGTACTATTTCTCTTCAGCTAATTATTTAGTCCATATGATGCTCCTTGGAGCACATTTCAAATTGAATCTAAAACTAAGTGCATGTGAAAATTTAATAAAGACTGATTTGATGACTGGGAAGTTACTTAAGGATGCAGAGGTCTCTTAGGAGGAAGAAGATAATGTGGCCTGTGAGTGAAGTGACTGCATTCTCTAATGACTCTTTTTCCCCTCCTTGGAACACCCGTTCCCTTAGGGAAAGGCATTCTTAGTGAGTGGGCTCAGGGTCATGTCGTGCTATTACTGTGGGGCTGGAATGGAGCCCTGAGCATTAGGCCTTGACAGCTCCAAGGAAATCGTATTCTCCCCTTGAGTCCCCCAGTCAACAGTCAGTGCCTAGAAACTAATGCATGCTGTGGAGGCCCGCCTTCATGGCATGGTTCTGGGATCTCCATGCACACACACACATAATTCAGCCTCCAACATTTTTTTCCAGCCAGCTTCTAGACACCTGATATTCTACTGTTAAATATTTATTTTTTGCCTAAAGGCTTCCCTATTTTTAAACTACAACTAACCAGGAAGAGGTAACTCTTTATGCCTTATTCATCACAGGTACTTTAAGGTGAATGCATTTATGCCATGCTTTCACATGAAAAGGTTTTAAGTACAAGGAGGATGAGAGACATGGACATTAGGGATAAAAAAAGAAAAATAGAAGCAAGTGGCCAATTTGGGACACAGGAGACAGGAGGGGTAAGCAGTCAGGCAAACACTTTGTTGACCATCACTGCAAAGCACAGGGTAGTCAAGTGACTTCATCAAGGGGCCACAGCAATATTTTGTTGCTGGCACAGTCTCCTACACAATCCATATGCGAGTCTATAGGAACCTGGGTCTGCAGAGCTTATCACAGGAAACAGCTACCCAGAAATGGGTGGCCTTGGTTAGATAATAAGGGCAATTACAGGTCCCTGGTTTCTGGGCTTGATTCTGTTCTTTGGAGCAACACCTTCCAGCATCCTGGTCTTATTGTGAGCAGAAAGTCAACAGTTCCTTTATAAGGATGGGTACGTGCTTGAGTCACTGGGAGTATATTTAAAGGATCATCATTTTGGGATTCTAAAAAACATCAGAGCCAAAGCGATGATATCTTTTCTGCAGCTCAACCACAT